ATCCCCGTCGTGTGTAAGACCCCTGACAATCCCGGCTCTGGCGGCCGGATGAAACATGTAGGGTCAACCGCCAGAAGCTCGGACAGGATATTGACAACCACGAGCATGACGCTCATTTTCGGTTCGAGTATTTGGGCTGTTTTTTCGTTGAATACATTTTGTCGCCCTCGCGTTCGGGAGAATTCGTGTGCCGTGTCTTCTTTCTCGCTTCCCTTTCTTCTTTTTGTGTTTGTACCTTGATGGTTCATGATATGCTATGCTGTTCTGTCGTACATCGTATGCTTCATTGATTTGATGGCTTTACTTACCAATCTCTCCACTACGTAACCTCCGTAGAGATTAGACTACGTGAGAGTGGCTGGTAGACCTTGAGGCGTGCTTCGTTCGTTCGTTCGGTTTTGCTCATCATGGCCGGTCAATTTCCTCCTCGCTCTTGTTATAACTGCGGTTCTCCTAGCCATTTCCAGCGGGACTGTCCTCGTCGGGGGTTCGGCAGAGGTTATGCTACAGGCGCAAATGCTACCCCAATGCCTGCCTTACCTGCTCCTTCTTCGACGTCGAATACTGGCTATGCTGTTCCCACTGCCATGTTTCCCTCCTCTTACGGTAGACAGAACTTTTGGCGCGCTAATCAAGAGAAGTTGGACAGATGCTATGCAAAGACTGTAGCGGATGAGGAAAAAGAAGCTAGGAGGAAGGAAGAAGATGAAAAGGCCAGGAGATTGAAGGAAGAAGAAGAAAGGAAGGAGGAATGGAAGAAAGAGCGTGAACGGCTGGAAGCGGAGATGACGGCTCGACTCGACAAGAGAATGGAGGACAAGAATAATCTTAGGATTAAGGAGAAATCCAACGATGAGAGTGCTCTTAAGGATGAGTTGGAGAAGATTCGTAAAGAAAACGAGAAACTGAGAAGGCTGCTGACTAAGGGAGATGAAGGTAGCGGGGACGACGGTGTTTCGAAGATGCAGAAGGAGATTGCGGACTTGAGACGACAGGTACAGGCGAAGAAGGTCGTTGAGGACGATATTTTTGCGATGAAGCAAGAAATTGAGCAATTGAGAGCGTCTGCGTTAGCGAAAGGAAGCTTTCAAGTGGAATTGGAAAGTTTGTCTTCGGAAGTCAGTCGACTGAAGCTGCAAGGCATTAAGGATCGAGAGCAAGCGCAGTTGTGGAAGGGAGAGGCGTTACGACCCGGAAACAAACGAGGGAGTATAGCGATTGGTACCCCCGAAGCTTCTATTCACGGTTCACCCAGGCCACGGTGGACAGACAACATACGTGAGGCTGATAGGTGGAAGGAGTATGCCAAGATGAAGGAGATGCATCGAGCAGCCAGTCTGGAGGCCGAGGTACTCAAAGGGAAGCGAGCGGTTGCCGAAGGGGAGGTGATAAAACCCAAAGAACAGTTGGGTAAAACTCTTGTGGAGGAACCTGCGCCCCGTCGTGAGGGCGGGGGTACAAATCTCAAGACAAGACTGGAGGCGGTTGCGAACCGATCTGCGAGGAAAGGTCTCAAAGCCACCCCAAGACGTGACATGGGTGATGCTGCAGGAGGCTCTGGTGAAATGAACGATCGGTTTCTTTTCATCGAGGCTCAGAAGAAGGATCTAAGGAACTACAAGAAGTCGGGTTTGGAAATATTGTGTCGGGAAGCTGGTCTGAAATTAAGAACGATTGACCTTATGATCGGGGACAGCGGAATACCGAGCTGACAAGGCTTTCGGCAAGATCGGAGAGACCGCCGTGGTCAACGAGAAATACAAGGATCCTCTCGTGCATGAGGTTTCGGAGGATATTCCCTCCCATGAAGCAACTTCCGTGTCGGATGATGGAAGGTCTGTTGAGCTCTAGGCGAGATTCCCGAACGTGACTATCTGTGGGGTTGGACACGTTACTGCAGGAAATTGCGAGAGATTGGTTCTTTAGGTTCCTCTATCGGTACGCGAAGCAGTTTTGCTGATGAAGGTGAGGACGGTAAGTGTTCAGATTTTTTCTTACGAGACAGGGAATTTAATGCGTTCTTTCGCTTGATTGTGTTGAGACTCATTGTGGCTAATTGTATCCCATGGGCGGTGAAGTTTAAGTCTTATGTTGAGAAGGTGCTTCGAGATGAGGTGGATTTGGAGATCGGTGAAGGTCCCTGGGTTTATGCACTGTTATCACCCTGGTCTAGACATGTTTATCTAGGCGCTACAAGTATATCACTGAGTGTGAGATGGAACGAACACTTGTATAGATGCTGTAATTCTGGTGTTATTGAGAAGGGGAGGAGAAACCATCGATTATATGCCTGGTTGAGAAGATGTGGGGTGGCCCAGTTTGTCATGCTTCCTATTTGTAGATGTGACCCAGAAGACCTGTTTACGGTTGAGAAGAGCTTTATTCGACTGATCAATCCGAGTTTGAATAGTCGGGACGTAAGATGCAGGGGCAAACGGAAGAGGAAAGGGAAGAGAGAACGATGTCGAGAAAAGCTCAGAAACGGTGGTTGTTTAACTAACTCTGTGATTGCACCGCATTTGATGTTTCGATCTACTAAGGGCCACTCTTCGGTCTCCTTAATACGGGTCCTGGATGAATGTCTGAGTAAGGGTATCTCCTCTATTGAGATTTCATGTGAAAATGGGACTAGATTCACTGATGGTTGGAAACTGGTCAAACGGAGATTTGGTACGTCGATTCTGTTCGGGGGGGGCGAGCGGTGTTTTGAAGAAGAGTAGAGGTCTCTTTGAGGATGGAGCTTCTATTGTGTTCAAGAATATTATTCCGTTTTGTTCCAAATTGATTTATTTGAAGCCGGCACTTGCCCAACTGTTGGCAGAACCAGTTAAACGGAAAGAGCTTAACTCATGGCCGTTCGGTGATTTGGTGCGCTCGTTTTTAGTTATTCGTGCCTTTTCTGGGAAGAAGACTCGCTTCGTTTGATTATTTCTGGCGTGCTTAATAGAAGATTTCATGTGAATGTTAGGAAGAGGCTTACCATTCGGGTGCCTTACGATCATCAACTGAGTAAACCAGGGATTAGGAATTTTTGTAAAGGGTTGATTAAACTATCTGATGCTGACGCAGACTGGAAGGATTTGGTGGTCCGACGGGCCCATGTAGTTTGGGTCAAAAATAAGAATATTGGGCAGATTTTGTTCAATTTTAGGAAATTTTCGCAGGAAAGCAATCTCGACTGTTCTTGCCAGGCACACGATGCTGACTGGACACGATCCGGGGGTCATATTTGCTGTCGGTTGAGTAGTGAGAAGTTCACTCCTGCCTGGCTAAAGAACAATCGGAACATCGCGGTTCCAGGCAGGTATAATTTGGTTAAACGATTGAGGAAAGAGATTGGAGACAGTTTGTTGGATATGGGGTTTAAGGTACCGTTCGGCCCATACAGTGATATGTCCGGCTGTTTCAATCTGGAAGCTAAGTCCAGTAAGCCAGGTAATTTTATTCGACAGGAAGATGTGGCTGATTGGAGAACGAAGTTTAAGGGGTTAGTCTGTGTTCCTATCGATCATTACCCCGGGGACACCATGGTGTGTTGTCCTTCGATTTATAAGAAAGGATTGGATAAGCTGTTTTTGAAGAATGACGGTTTTGAGATATTGAAAGAAGATGAGGATTCCGTGTTACGAAGGATGGAGAACGGTTATAAGACGAGGGATCTTCCTGCCTTTGCGAAGTGGGATAAAGGAGGGAAGCTGGGACGAGCATACGTCATTCCGAAACATAAAGATATTTCGAAATGGCGTCCTATATGCCCTTCTTTTTTGGAAGGAAATGTGCGGGGTTCCAAAATAGTCTCGAGGGTCCTTAATGAAATGCTGTGGCAGCTCCCTAAGAAATCGCATTTTAATATGAAAAGCACAGATCTTCTGTTGCAGCAGACACAGCTGGTCAATAAGGATGTGGGTGGAAGAGATGATCTGTTGATCGCAGCTTATGATGTGAAAGAGATGTTCTGCAACCTTCCACATCGTTCGATCAGACTAGCCCTGCAGTGGCTGGTTGACTTTTGGTTGAAGTCAGGGGTTGATAAAGTGATGATCAGGAGACAAGGTAAAGGCGCGATGCTCACTAAAGGTAATAGGCAGGAGGGTTGGAGATGGGTTGAATATCACCAACTTCTGGAATTTGTTGATTTTGATCTAGAGAACACCTTCACCATGGTCGGCGGGAAAATATTGCGGCAAACTATTGGCATTCCAATGGGGAACCCATCGAGCCCTGCTATTGCATGTATGATGTGCACTCATTCTGAATTTATGTTTTTGCTTTCTCTGGGGGCTGACCGGGCCCTTGTGCATGGAATCCAGCTTATTGACGACGTGACGATCTTTATCAAATATCGTAAGGACGATAAAGAAGGGGAGGCTAAGGCGTGGAAGATATTGGGTGACTTCGAGATCTCGTATGATAAGAATCTCACCCTGGAATGTACAAGTCGATCTGGTCCCTGGGATTTTTTGGGATGTGTCTTGAACTATTTTGGACCACCCCGAGGTGTCAGATGCGCTTCAGTTCTGAAGAACCAGCATGCCGTAAGAAGTGGAGTTATCAAATTCCAGAATCTGCAGGATGCTGTGTCTTATTCTGATCGACAGCAAAAGATGGCTGTAATTACCTCTTTCCTATATCGGGCCAAGCGTTTTACCGACATGCAAGAGGCGGAGGGTGTTTTTCTTCTTTCTCTAAAAATTGAATTGAGAATTCGAGGGTTTACTGATGACTTTTTGATGATGCTTTGAGATGTTTTTCCATGAAGTTTGACGGGTTTTGGGATCACTGGGTGAAGATGTTGACTGATTGGGAGCGGTTTCCCGAGCGTGCGCTGAGATATCTTAATTTGTATTGTGCGGATTGCGACTAGTAGGGGGCACCGTTGTAGCTCCCTTGGATGGGGGGGTCGATGTCGAGAATATTATAAAAAAGGGGGGGCACCTGGAAGCTCTCTGAGGATAAGGGGGCGTCTGTTATATTTCTGGAGGAAACTGAGATGCCTGTTGGGCTTTTTGAGGTTCCCGGGCATTTAGCAAGCTAAGATTTTTTTGACCCTTAGCAGACT